TATTTTTTTAATTCGCCCAACAGCTTTGAGCTCATAAAGCATTGATTGGTCTTGTAACCATCCTATAGAATTTCCTTTAGTTCGCAATTAGTATTTTACAGTCACATAAGACTCGCCAAAGCCACTCCTGCCATTTTAACCATCCTGATTTGATTCAATAGATAGCAATTATCATCAATCTTACCATCATGCAAATGATTGATCGCTAAATAGCCGGAAAATTATTAATTTAGATATTTCTTAATGCATCAATATGCCACTTAGGATCTTTTCCGTTATGTTTTTATTAAAAACGTACCGCCTACTAATTCTAAGAGCTTAGATTCAAAGTAGTCTTCAGCTTTCTACTTTATGAAATTATTAACATTTTAGTTTTGTCACTAACACTATTCATCACAAATAGCATAGTCAGCCATGCGATTTTATCCTGAATATGTTAGTAAAGTTGGTCAATAATTAATGCCAAAAAGATAAGAATTCAAGGCTGACCCTTGTGTAAGCCTGGTAATAGATAACAGCTTAGTCTGCTTTTCATTATTCTTACTCTATCTACATTGCCTTTAATCTTATTAATATATACTAGATACACTGTTTCTTTTTTAAAATCAAAACCTATTACCTCTCTAAGTATTACTCTATATAAGTTTTTTTGTAATCTATGAAAACCCATATGTGATCTTTCTCTCTCTTTGTATCTCACTCTCACCATCTGCACAGCATAAAACGGCAATTAATTTTCAAGATTTACTTGTCTCTGTTCTTAGTTTTTGCTTAATTACCCTCTCCCAAAGTCCAAAGTTTTTATAGTATGCTCGTGGAGTGTTTAATACCTATGATAATTTGGACAAACATTTGTATATCTCTTTATTCTGTAATATGTGGTATCAAATTATTAATCCTCGCACTTATGCTTAACTTTGGTCCTCTAATCTTATTAAATAATTTAGTTAACGCATCCTATTGCCGATATCTCCTAACAACATTGTCTAATTTTAAAATAGGGATCCCGCCGATCCTTGGCTCACCATTTTTTATTCTCCCTTTAAGCATCTTAACTCTCACTAATTCTATTTTTCAGAATAATATCTATAGTGCTTTTATCGTTCAGCTATATGGTCAAGTTCTCTATGTTGGCTCGATATTGTTTGGTTATCTTAAACATTTATGAAAGTAACTACCTCCAACCTCTGCTTTTATTTCCTGTCAGTTAATAGAACTCTTTGATTTTCGTTTTAAATAACACCTAATATTATCCGAATCCTTACTCTTCCTTTCTGTAATCTAGCAAGCTTGTATATATATAGTTTTTTCCTCTTAGATTCTAGACTTTTATAAAAATTTCATAAGCCTTGTGATTTAGTCTCACTAATCGCTTTTTGCTGTTCTTCCTTGCAGCTTATTTTCTCTAAGTTTTCCTTGTTCCTATACTTTTGTCACCCTTTATATATATTTTTCTCTGCTAATTCAGCCTTTTGGCACATCCTCGCATTCCAACATCAACTGCTCTTTACCATCTATCTACAACATTTAGATTCTCCTAATATGTCTTTCGGGCACGCTCTTCATACAAGAAGACATGTTATTCCACATAGTATTAGTCTGTCGTTGATTCATATTCGCATAATCTTACGCTTCATTATCTTATTTAAAATGTATAAATTCTCATTATTTTAAGTTTTCAGCGTATTTAGTTCTTAGTCTCTATTTATGTTAGTTTTGCCTACTACAGCTTCTTGATAGACATGTGTAATACCATCAACGGAGGCTATATTGTGTAATTAAACTCTGCTCACTGATTCTAATTTTATGATCTTACATGTTAAAACCTATCGACCCTTCTTAATAAAAAAAAAAATGCTATTTGACTATATTCAATCTACTTTTAACTGTTATTAAAGTTTCATATATATATATATATATATATATATATATATATATATATATATATATATATATATGAGTATGCTTGGTACCAAACACAAATTTTGTGCTTGGTAATGAAGTGTCATATTCACATCTACTTATTTTAATTCTCAACCACTCCCCAACCCATGTGAATGTGGGCCCCGATTTCACAAATTTTGATAAAAATCAATCATATTATTAATCACTTATAATTATATAATTTACAAATATAAAAAATCATAGAAATTAAAATAATTAAAATATTTTTTTATTAATAATCAGTTAATCACTAATAATTACAAATTTATTTTGAAATTTGTTGTATCATAATAGATGAATACATCCCAACTAGGTTAACACCTACTCATCTATATAACTATTATTTGTAACTCTTTTCAAAATAATTTATCATAAATTTTCAGCTAAGAAATAAAAATTACAAACTAATGAATATTTATATAAGTATGTATTAGTATATACTTACAAATTATCATATAGCTATATATTATATATACATATATTATATGTAAATATATTGTATATACCTATAAGTTATAACTTGAGAGAGAGAGAGAATTATATAAGTATATATTGCTTATTTATAAATATGTATTATATAGTTATACATGTATTTTGTTACATACTTACATTATGCTTATTTAAGTACAGTTATATAATTTACTTATATGATATACTTTTATATATACTAGATGCAATATACTTATATATGATTATAGTTATGCACTTGTATATACTTATATAACTATAATTCTATAATATACACATATAAGTATACTTATAACTACATTATATATATTTATATTCTTATATCTTAGCATCTATATCATTGCTAAGAGTGTATATATATATATATATAATTATATTATATATATATATATAATAATATATATATATATATATATATATTATATATATTATATATATATATATAATATTATATATATAATATATATATATATATATATATATATAATATATATATATATTATAATATATAATAATTAAATATATATATATATATATATATATATATATATTATATATTATAATATATATATTATAATTATATTAGATTAATGGGTGTCCTATGTCAAGGAGGGATTTTCCTCATTAACACCTATGTGCACAGATCCCGCACAACTCACACACTCTCTCCTACTTTATGAGGATGGTGGAGATTGTGCCACATAGGCGTCAAGGAGGGAAATCCCCTCATTGACAAGGATACCCATTAATCTCATATTATATATACATATATTATATATAAATATATTGTATATACTTATAAGTTATAACATGAGAGAGAGAGAATCACATAAATATATATTATACATGTATTTATTACATACTTACATTATGCTTATTTAAGTACAATTATATTTTTTACTTATATGATATAGTTTTATATATACTAGATGCAATATACTTGTATATAATTATACTTATGCACTTATTTATACTTGTATAACTGTAATTCTATAATATACACATATAAGTATACTTATAACTGCATTATATATATTTATATTCTTACAACTTAGTATCTATACCATGCTAAGAGAGAGAGAGA